TCCTCTTGAGGGACAAAGAACGGTTAATTCAGAATGGTATGCTAGCATTGCCACAGGTCGTTTCTGAACTCCGTAAAGAGAACTGCAACCGCCGCATCATCCTCCATCACAACAATGCGAGTTTTCACACCCACACACAGAACAAAAGAGTTTTTAGAGCAAGAAAACATAGAATTATTAGAGTATCCACCGTACAGCCCCGACCTAAGCCCTAATGATTTCTATACTTTCCCTAAAATAAAGAATAAATTGCGTGGACAGAGATTTTCATCACCTGAAGAAGCTGTGGACGCCTACAAAACAGCCATTTTGGAGACCCCAACTTCCGAATGGAATGATTGCTTCAATGATTGGTTCCATCGTATGGAAAAATGTCTCAAATCTCCGTACGATGTAATGTTGTGTCACTTCCTTGATTCCCGAAATTTTCAGTGTCGCCCTCTTAATATGGTTTGTATTCTGTGACCAAAACCAACGATTATATACAAAATGTAACAAAAACCCTGTGGTTCCCGTTAACTGCGTTATCAGAATCAGTATCCAAGCGTATAGAAATAATTTTTTTCAAAAAAAAAAACACATTTAGAAAAATAATTGAAAAAGTAATAATTTGCAAATTGTGTGGTTTTATTATCTCTGCATTGGCCGAGGAGTAAGAGGATTGTCAAAGACCCCGCATTACCGATACTCGTGTGAGTTAGAGGAAATAAAACCACACACAATTTGCATTATTAATTTTTTTCATTAAAATTAATTTTTTTAAATGCTTTTTTAGAAAAAAAAAATATTTTCTACACGCTTGGATACTGATTCTGATAACACACTTAACGGGAACCACAGGGTTTTTGTTACATATTGTATAACGTTATTCGGTACAACATAAAACTAAGACGATAATTTCTATTAATTAGATATGAACTAGCTGTTCCCCGCGACTTTATCAGCGTGGAATTTATAACGATTAGATTTCATGGGTTTTATTTTTTTTTTACGCGGAAACCTAAAACTTTACAATAAAAGAAGCCTATGTACTACTTTTAACATCAGTTATCTGTCAGTGAAATCCCCATCAAGTTCAGTCCTACCGTTTCGGAGATTAGCTGCTACAAACAGACAGAGAGACAGACAAACGGTTTTTGTATACGTACCGATATATTTTCCCGTGCGTTCAGTAAAAAGCCGTTAGTGTGACATTACAAACAGACGCTTCAATTTTATTTATTTTTTATACATTTGTGAATGTGACAATTCGTTCATTGATGAAGCACACTATTCAAAATAGTACAGACATATAATATTAATGTAGCCATTTCCGGGCATCGCGGGTCATTTGATACGATCTTCGACTTAGTGCTCAATGACCTAACGATTGTTATGTTCGCACTTACTCGTAGAAAACAGATTTGTCTTCTTTTGTAAAATAACAATTAGGGAGGCAGAAAGTGGAAAAAAGGACTCAGTGTAGTGGAGTTGAGGCAAGCGAGCATTTAGTCCACATAGGTGTAGATATAATGTATAACGGATATCATACATAAACATAAACACTCACGCCTGTCACCCAGAGGGGTAGGCAGAGACTACGGACTTCCATTTGACACGATCCTGACATATCTCTTTCGCCTCCTTTACATCCATATATATACGCATACATGCTCGTCGGTTAAGGGTACTTCTAACGTGGCCCATTTTCAAAATATCGCCAATTTGGTCGATAAACTTTCTTCTAGGGCGTCCTTTCCTGACCCTGCCATTCACATCTGCCATATAAATTTGCTTTGTCACTCTTTCCTCATAACAGATACCAGCGAATTAAAATCAAAATGCCGCCAGCGGTTTTGGCACTTTACCGCGTATAGTAGGATTTTATGACAAATGTAGCTTATAGTTTTATTTTAATATTGTAAATTTATACATGATAACTATGTCTTATTATGGATTGCTTTATTAATTTTTCGAACTCAATTACAAACACTTTTGAGATTATTACAACTTAAACCTTTTGCAACTCTTCTATTTCTTAGAAAAGAGTAGGAACAAAAAACTAGTGCTTATCCATATACAAAAATATTAGTAGAAACTTATAAAAGAAAATACTATAGACAGTTAAATTTTAACGTTCTAGCTGGTAGCGCATGGTTCAAACGTTCATTGTTAATTAGTTCGCAGTACGCAGTTGGTCCGGATTCGATCCATGCCGGCATCTATGAGATTTTAAATTGTAAAGATTCACCACGTGCCTGACGGTGAAGAAAAACATCGTGAGAAAACTTACATTTCTTACGGACGTAATATTACGAGGACAATCGTGGTCACGCACAGGAGCATCGCAATGGACTAAACTTTTTTTTTATAGAATAGGAGAAGGATAACAAACGAGCGCACAGTCTATCCGATGGTAAGTAGACGCTGTGCCCCATAGACAATAACATTTATCGTCGATCAAGAATCAAAATACTCATGCGTTGTCCTACCTGAAGACTAAGATGAAATGCCTCGTTCCAGTAAAAAAGGTATCCGGTCTTCTACACTTACCATACGAAATACAGCATTATTAAGCTGCTATTTTACCCTGGTACTAATGGCTCCAAAAACATCTCAGTAAAGAGAAAAGGCTGGAGCTCCATGCCAGGATGTATAAAGATTGAATTTTTCTTTTTACTTACTAAAATTATTTTGTATCATAAAATACACTAAAATCACGATTCAATATTATTATCAGTAATATGTAGTCGCTTTGTTAGACTATGCACTACCCTATATCGTATCGTGGGTGTCGTGAGGGGCACGTACCAGCCGGGACATGGGTAGCTTTTTCCAAATAACAACTATAAAAATATAACTGCCGTTGCCAACCAGCACATGAGGCAATCGATGGGGGGGGGAGTCCATGTTCAGCGGTGGATTTTGATAGGCTGTAAATAATGACTGTAATATTTGATAAATTAGGGGTTAATGTGGAAGCATAATTTCATGGATCTCAATTCTACGGAGATCTATTTTTAAACACTTATGCACACATTCATACCTATTTTATACGAACACATAAAAATGTGCGTGTCTTCATACACATAAGGACTCTTAGCCTTGAACAGCCATTATTTCATAATCTATTAAGAATAAGCGACAGAAGAATAACAATTAAGAATAAGAATAAGATTAAGGAAATTCTGTAAGAAAATCGCATTAGAAATTCAGGATTTGGGTGAATGCTTAGGGTATTTGCAAAGACATTTAGTGATTTGGTCTCCTTGTGAAATATGTCCTGTATTTCTGTGGACGGGATGTTTGTCCAATTATACAAGAAAAAAATTGATGTGCCTTTATTTATTAAGCTTCCTGTCCACACGTACCATCGTATTGCAATAAAATAAATTTTAAAAACCGCCGAATCAAGTAGGCTGATGATCTCCAAACGACTGTGAAAATTTTCTGGAATCGTAGCTAAAAACGCTCTCGACCAAGTCACCTTTCCAACATCCATTGATCCATTCATGTCGTTCCTCCATCTGGGAGCTACGACACCACAGACAGAAACACATACACAAATTCACACTACAAACATATAACACCCCTCTTTTTCGTCTAGAATGTACTTACGTTGAGCAGCAGACCCGGAAATTATACACCCTGAGATTTAGTTGTATACCCTGAGATTACAACTAAACTTTCTTTAGTATCAGAAAATCCTGATTATGAAAAGAAATAAGTGCTATAAATAAACTTAACTCATGGTTTTATTAAGGTTATGTAAACCTTTAACGTCCACAAAAAATTGGCAGAACAAGTTAAAAATAATAACTAAATTCTGGGAAAAAATTATCCGGTGTGTAAGAGAGAGTCAGTTTACTAGTCCTTAAAATTGTTAATTCCCAAACAAATAGGATTTACTAGATGCATTTTTAAATCTAAAGACAGTATATTATTACATATTATTTTGTAGACACATAAAATAAAAAATAAAAAGATACATAATATGACACCCCTCTATCGGGCATTTGGGTGTTGGTAGGCCTATGTTAATATGACATGAAAGTAAGAAAAAATGTGATATGAGAACTGTTTTACCTTGATATGGAATATCAAAAGGTTACAAGTTAAATACACTTAAAATATAAGTAAGCAAAAAGTGAGTAAAAAATAAGCAGTTCGGTGCCATTATCAGATCTAAGACTCTTCACTCTCCTCCCCAGTTGATTTTTAACAAGTCTCAGGTAGCTTGCAATCTTCTCAGGGGCCTCACTTTTCGTCTTCATGAAGTAACAGCTTCGGTAGTGGGTGAAGTCGTCCTTAAACATGAGCCAATACTTGGCTCTTCCCATTGATGGGATGTTCATCTCTCCAGTGTCGACATGAACAAGATCTAATGGCTGCTGAGCTGTCTTGGGGTTGTTTGGGTGTGAGGATCGATGTTGCTTGCCCTGTGCGCACCCCATGCACACATAATCATTCCAGTCATCAACATATCTTATTCCTTTTCTTTTCAATATGTCCCTCATATACTTCACATTGTGATGGGCGAGTCGTTCGTGCTAAACTTTAATCGACTGGACCATCAAACATGTCTCTTCTTCTCTCCTGAGCATCATCTTGTAAAGACTTCCTCTACGCCTTGCAATTTCCACAATTTCCCTGTCATCTAGACTCTAAAATGTCGATTCTTTTCCGTTTGCCTTCTGTACATGTCCCCTGTCCAACATCTGACTTACTGAGAAAAGATTAAAGCTTAGATTTGGTACGTAAATCACATCCTCAAGTACCACTGGATACCAGTTTTCACCATCAAAAGCCTCCATCTCGATGTTCCCGACTGCAACGCCATCTAGCCTGGTTGAGTCTCCAATTACAATTGGAATTGGCTCGTCCAGCTCCACAAGCTGCACAAACCATTCTCGATGATACGTCATGTATTGGCTGGCTCCACTGTCTTGATACCATGAGGTTGCCCTGTCCTTGGAGATGTCTTTGTCCACTGTCGAGAGTGTTGTGGTCAAAAATGCCACCCTTTTTTGTTTCCCATTTCCTGACTTATTTGCTTCTTCTCGGGATTCACAATCCTTTGCAAAGTGTCCTTTCTTCTTGCAAATGTTGCATGAGTGTTTTTTCTTGCAATACTCAATGTATTTCTGACACGGTTTTCCTCTGCACTCCTTGATCACGTGACCTTTCTTTCCACATTTGTAACATGCTAGCGCTGACTTATCCTGCTTGCTGTTTGACGACTGTCCCTGTTTCTCACGTCTTGCCATGAGAGCGTTGTTGATGCTACCCTCTGCATTTGTCGCCATTTCCTTAAGTTGCTCGTCCTCAAGTCTCTGACGTTCGATGTTCTTTGTTGGTCCGGTCACATTGTTCCAGGATGTTCTGAAATGCGCCAATTTTGGCGGTAGCACACTCGATATTCTTGTCATGATCCAACTTTCCCTCATTGGATCATTCTCAGTTGACACTTCATCAGCCAAGTCCAAAATCTCCATACAATTCTCTACTGCTGACCTGTTTTTATTATACTCAATGGTAAAGAATTTGATTCGGGAAGTTTTTAAAGTTACATCAGTCTTTGTACCATATAAACTAGTTAATTTGTCGATCATATCTTTGGCAGTTCTACAATTTGCAATATTATTCGCAATCTTACTGTTTACATTTAAACCTATCAACGTTTGAGCTTCGACATATTTCTTTATCCAAGCTGAAACGTTTGCTTCTGACGCAGCACCAGCTGGTCTGGGCTTTGCACCTGTTACAATTTCGTACAAGTCCTTATTCTTAAGTGCTAGGTTTAATTTAAATCGCCATGAAATGAAATTGACATTTCCCTGACTATCTTCACTTAACATTTCCAATTGAGACTTTATCCATTTTGCTTTGAATTTTATAATTTAACTGACTTCTGACAATTTTTTAAATAAACAAAATGAATTTATAAACTTTCGTGACAATTTTCTAACTTAAAGCTACTTGGTTTACGTTGCTCAACGTTGCCTTGCTGTGTGATGGCTGCTCCGGTGTAGCTGATTTGTAGGTTATGTCGGCCGCGCCGGTTCTGACAGGACTGCTTTTCTCGACTTTCCGTCGCTTTCCTGACCTGACTTCCAAAGAAACCCTTTCACAGCTGTTCTGGGCCCATAACCTGTTGTGAATTCAATGTAATTTCAAAAAATAGGTTTTTGTGTTTGTTACATTGCTTACGTTTTGATAATGCTGCCGACAGGGAACAAAGAAAAGAATCTGAAAAATTAGCGGCAATATCTTTTATTTTTGATCGATTTGTTTCAAATTGCCAAAGAGTATATAATATAAGCCAATACGCCACTGTAGATGAAATGCTAGTCCCTTTTAGGGTACGGTCTATCTTGATGATTTACATGCCCAGTAAGCCGGCAAAATATGGACTAAAAGTAATGTGTTTGTGTGATGCTGAAAACGGATATTTTTACAATGGTTACGTGTATTGTGGAAAGGGTTCAGATGGAGAAAGCCTGACAGAGGAAGAAAAGAAATTATTAGTTCCCACCCAAGCCGTGCTACGTTTGACGAGACCATTACAAGGCAGCAACAAAAATATCACATGTGACAATTGGTTTACCTCTATTCAGTTAGTAAATTCTTTGAAACAGAGAGGACTTACATGCGTAGGTACTGTAAAGAAAAACAAAAGAGAAATCCCTCCTGAATTTTCTCCGACTAAATCTAGACAAGAAGATTCAACGTTGTACGGTTTTACAAAAGAGATAACGCTTATTTACCATGTACCTAAGAAAAACAAAGCCGTGATATTAGCTTCCTCGATGCATCACAGTGAAGGAATTAATAATGAGTCAGGCAAACCTGAAATTATACAATTCTATAATTCCACAAAAGTAGGAGTGGATGAAATAGATAAAAAGTGTTCGATATACAACTTACTACACACTTTTTTTACCGGATTTTGGACATAAGTTCCGTAAATGCTCATATTTTACATGATGTGCATCTAAAAAAAACTGAACGGGGTGTTTTTGTAAAACATTTAGCTCGTCAGCTCATATTAGATCACATAAAGAGAAGGGTGTTCAACTTGAGCTTGCCTCGCGAGCTTCGCATGAGTTTGGCTAGAATACTCGGGGCTGATATGCCAGGTGAAGTTCAAGGTTAAGTGAGTCAAGAAAAAACGAGAAAAATATGTGCATCTTGCCCACCTAAACTCAACAGAAAATCAACATATCAATGTTAGTCATGCAAAATACACGTTTGTTTACAGTGTGCCAAGTAAGTGTGTCCTGATTGTGAATAAATAACTTTGCTGTTTGTCATTTATTTTATTTTGAGCATTCCAGATATTTTTTTTCTGATAGACATGTCTCTTAAGTATAAGAAAAGTTAAGATATTCTAGTTCCTAAGTGGTATTTTTTTAAAGATTTTTATTTCGTTAAGTGTCCTATTATAGTCAAAAAATTGAGCCAAAGATTAAAAGGCCTATTAATGTTAAATTTAATAAAGAAGATTAATTTACTTCTTCCTTTCATTTAAGAAACCTATATTATCAAAATAAATTAAAATTTGACCAAAATTATAAACCATTTCAAAAAGAACTGATTATTTGCATGCGGCCTTTCGGGCCCCACATCGGTACTTGCGGTATAAAAAAACCACGTCGGTACATAAAGGTTAATTAAGTGGCTTTAGTTAAATACTCCGACCGAATGTAATCTGATTGCCTTAATATTGTTTTATACACTCATATAAGTGCTAAGTTAGTGTTTTGTTAATTTTATTGTTTTTTATATTTTATTTTTCCAAAATAAAGTTTTTGTAAGAGTATATTGTTGAAGATGTAAGGGGGCGATATAGGGGGGAAAGGTAGATGAAACACCAGCAAATTATATAAAACTGTGGTGGCCATCTGATAAGGCAATCAATAAGTAGCCCTTTTGATTGCCTCATAATCTATGTACAGCAATGATCCTTTGATAGGTTATAACGAATAAATAAATTCAAAATTAACGTAGTTTAATAACAGTTTAACATTATAATTTCTTTATCAAGATAAGACACATAATTTTAACTTCAGTAGGTCAAGCAAAAAATAAAATTCAAAATTACAATACCAATTAACAAAATTGTAGTCGTCTTTAAGGAAATCAGAAGGTAATCATCTGAGCTGTGTTTGAATATGTTTAAGATGTAATATGTACTTACGTACTAGAACAGCAATCTCAAACAAAAAAATGTGCGCTACTCTGTGTTCGCACGGTTGATTTTTTATCATAGAATAAACATAGGTGGAATGACCCGTAGGTAATAGTAGATTGTATTGTTAAATAGGTAAATTATATCGAGAACAATACTTAAATTTTGTCATTTATTTTGTAGATTATACTTGCTTATTTAATATAATATTACATGATATTATATCACAATTACATTTTAATTATATTTTTATCTGAATATTTTAAAAGGTATCTAAGACAAATATAAAAAACATACTCAATGTATGTTTAACGAAACTTATTAACATAACATTTAAATTACAAATATATTTATTTAAATTAGAATAAAAGTCGTTCATAAATGCTGGGCACGCGAGAGTTAAAAATGGACGAATTTTTACCAACTTTGACTTTGATGTGGAAACCTAAAAATAAAATAAAAGAATAATAAGCAGATTTTAAAGCGGCAGATCGTAAAGTGCCCATGTTTATAACGATGGTTCATCGGGACACGACGGAAAACGATATTGTGCAATACGTTTACAATAAAACGAGAGAAAAGATAACACTCGAAAAGATTTCCTTTAGTAAAGAAAACAAGGACTACAACGCTTACAAATTTTTTGTATCAGAGCGGAAAATAGATATTTTCTTAGATAAAACGCTTTGGCCCCAAGGTGTGATCTTTAGGCGCTTCGTCAACTTCAAGCGAAACCACAGCTCTGGAACGAACGGTACAGTAAATACCGTGAACGGCCCGACCCCAAATGGTAATGGATAAAATCCTCTCGTGTACTTTTGTCAGTTTCAATTGTAAAAGTATAAAACGATCAGCTGAGCATGTGAGGCAGTTGTGTCAGTCATCGGATGTTATTGCGCTTCAAGAAACGTGGTTATTTCCACACGATATTCAGTTTCTTAGCGAGATTGATGACCGTTTCGGCAGTACGGGCACCTCTGCGATAGACACGGCGGCGGGGATGGTCTGCGGTCGACCTTACGGAGGTGTAGCGTTATTGTGGAATAAAAGTGTCTTTCAAAATGTGTCAGTAATAAACTGTGATAATCCGCGTATATGTGCGATAAAAATAGTGCTGGGTGATAGGTCCATCCTAGTGTTTAGCGTATATATGCCGACGGATACAGTGGTAAATCTCACGGAGTTTACTGACTGCCTCAGCTCGGTGAGTGCTATTATTGATAATAGTAATATAGAATGTGTCTATATACTCGGAGACTTTAATGCGCATCCAAACGAACGCTTTTATGCAGAGTTGACGTGTTTCTGTGACGAACAAAACTGGTCATGTACAGATGTACAGTTTTTAGGAGTGAGCGCGGACACATACACATTTGTTAGTGAAGCCCACGGGTCGAAAAGGTGGCTAGATCACTGTATAACCACGAAATCTGCGGCATCGTCTATTTTGAATGTTCATGTAAAGTACGATGTGTTGTGGTCTGACCATTACCCTTTAATAATTAAATGTAATTTAGATATTGTTAAACCGAAGTATACGAGTACACATAAAGTTGTAAACGAGATTCTGTGGGGAAATAGAAAACCGGAAGATATTTTATTATATACGAAATTATGTAATGAAAAGTTGAGATCAATCGATTTCCCCGAAGAGTTTCGTTCTTGTAGTGATTTTACTTGCGAGTCTACCGATCACAATTTACTTATCGATAAATTATATGGCGAAATTATAGATATTTTGACGGTGGCCGCAACGGAATCCAACACTGTAAGATTGCGTGGAGGGAGGCGGCCGGTGGTTGGGTGGAACAGATATGTGCGCGATGCTCACGGGGAGGCCAGATCTAAATTTTTAATGTGGGTTTGGTGGGGTAAACCGGATAGTGGAGAAGTTTATGAGGAAATGCGGCGTAGTCGCAATTTATTTAAGTCACGCTTACGCTGGTGTCAAAACCACAGCGAGCAAATTAAAATGGACATTGCGGCTACGCAGCATTCGAACAATGACTTCAAGAACTTTTGGAAATCTACCAATAAATTAAATGGTAGACCTGGCTTACCAGTGAGCGTTGAGGGTATTAATGACCATAGTCTCATAGCGGACATGTTCAGGGACCATTTTACGGTGACGTCACCGTTGCGACCATCACAGCTTGGAAGAGATGAATGTACGGGTGGTCAGGAGATTGGAATCCGATTTACAGCAATGGATGTCAATAATGCTATAGCCTCTATGTCCCGTGGCAAGTCTCCTGGCCATGACGGTCTGAGTATTGAACACCTAAGGTATGCGGGTCCTCATCT